GGGCTCGATCTCATGACCCGAGATCATGACTTGAGCCGCAATCAAGAGTCGGTTGTTTAACCGACTGAGCCACCCAGGCGCCCCTAACATATTTTTTCATCAAAAACCTAATAGTACCATCAGAGTTTAGTTGAGCAAGCCAAACAAACCTGTGACGGGATTATTTATGAGACATGAAGACACTAAAAATTATTAATCTGATGATTTAGGAAGGCAGCTGAATTTGTTCACAGCAATTTGCTGGTTCTAACTCATTTCAGTGGTTCAGTGCCCTTGAATATTTTTTTTAAACTTGAATTTAGAACTCCCACTACTTTTAGTTAGGTGTGACTCTCTGCAAACAAGCCCATTTTTGCACTTACAGCAAAAGAAATATGTGAGAGTGTCTTAAAAATATAAAGCAATACACAGAGGCAAGTACTATATAATCAGTTCTTTGTATAAATTATGGTCTTTATTGACAGGGATCATTATCACTGTGTACAGAGCAAAGACTTCCCTGTGGTGCACAGCTGTGGTCACTGTTTGTAGAAACCATGTGCTTGGGGTGTGACTCTGCCTCTTAGACTGAGAGTTTGCTTTTGCAAATAGTCCAGGATAAAACGGAGGAAGCTGCATCCTGGAAGCTGGCTAAGGCCAGGCCTAGATCATCGTCAATCCAGTCGCTGTTTACCGAGAAGTTTCACAGCAAGTAACGTGCTGCGGGATACCAAGATGGAGAAGAGTCCCTTCCCCCTGCCCGGCACATAGTTTACGTGTATTTCTGAAAAATCTCTCATCTAATTCTCACAACCACACTGTGAGGTAGGTAGAGGAAGCCATATTTTACAGAGAGGTTAAGTCGTTTTCCCCATGTCACACAGCTTACGGGTAGCTGAGCCATCACTGGAACTCAGGCCCTCTAACGCTAACCCTTGCGCTCTGTGTCATGGCTGCCTTCTGGACTGACAGGCCCTGCCTGCCCATCAGAGGCCTTCAGTCTAAAGGGGAAATAAATATACAAGTATCAGTGCAAGGCCGTATTGACTAGGTATTCTTGTGGAGTGCAAACAGAGTACGAGAGAAAGAGGAGGAAGGCAATTGATTAACCTCCTTCTGGCCTGAGAACAAGGCGCCTCCTCACTTGTGCCATAGATCTTCAAATGCAATATAGCCAGCCTAAAGGGAATGCTATTCCATAAAAGGCTGTCAACTTTCTTTCTCTTTGTATACCTTCTTTTACATTTCCCTGTGTCTCACAGCTCCTTCGTCTTGTTCACTTGTGAATTCCAGTCTCTGGATCTGGATCTCTGTTTCTTTTCCTGAGTCAAAGGAAATGTATCTTGGCATTTTTATTCCCCTTAACTGTACCGATCTCAGCCTTCTGATAGATCTTCCTGTGCTGTATCTTTCTCTCCATGTCTCCCGTCATTTTATTTCTTCCCTTGTTCTTCTTGCTCTGTCTCTGCTTCCAAAGCCCATAATACAGAAATGAAGTGCAGTTCTAAGCAAAATAACTCATTTCAGAGTAGAGTTTCATTTTCTCTGTTACGATTTTTTTTTAAGTAGATGGGTGGATAGAGACCTCCAAGGTCTCTCAGTTCTGGAGCTTGAAATGAAGATGTTTCATGTGTGAATCTCAGTTGTTTTTCCTTGATGCATTTTTCTGGATAGGAAGAAAATGCCCTTGATCAAGGGTAGCGGCCCGCACATGGCACATCTTCATGACATTCACCTGAGTGTTCTCAGAGTCTCTTACTAGTAAATACTGTATTTTCAGTTTAAGGCTAGCGAAACCAGGGAGCAGAATGGGGAGAGTTCTGCTATTCTATCCCTTAATGGTATCCAGACTGGGGTTTAAAGGAATGGGAGAGAGAGGGTAGAAACCAGAGAAATCCCACCATGGCCCTCCCTAACTGGGAGCTTTAGCAATTCCCATTCAAGGGAATTTTGTAAATGAGTTCTCATTTTGTAAACAAGTCTTCTCTTGACATCTGGTAACCCAAACCTCACTCTCAAAACCCACCTAAGAGGCATAACTAAAAACTCCTTAAATCCCAACTCTACAAGATGAAATCACCCTGAACACGAATCAGGAGCCCTGGGTTCTAACTTGAGCCTTGCCACGTCATAGAGTAGCCTGTCAGTTTACCATTCTGCACCTCAGTTTCTTCATCTATAAAATGAAGTAATATGATCACCGACCTCACCAGGTCATTTTGAGAACCAAGTGAGATTAATATATGTGAGAGTGATTTGAAAAATTGTAAAGGCATATACAAATATGAAATAATATATAGCAGCATCAGAGCTCATAAACTACACTCCACACATTTAAATTTGTGAGGAAACAATTAGGAACAGTGGTTATTAATCAGAAACTATATTGTGAAAAACAACTACTCTTCCCTTGTTTATCAAGTTTGAAGGCAGCGCAGTCGTTAGGCACACTGACCTTGAAGGCAGAAGGTAATGAGTTCAAATCCCAACTCTGCCACCAGCCGTGTGAACTTGGGCCAGTTTGCTTTCTTTGCTCTGGGTCTTATTTTGCACACACACACACACACACACACACACACACACACACATAGAGGATGATAGATTCTTTGTGAGGAATCCAATGAGATAAGCTTGTAAAACATTTGATACAGTGCCTGGCACATAGTAAATATTCAATAAATATTAGCTTTAAAAAGTATCAAATGTTAAGCGCTGGCAATGTGCCAGGCCCACCTTGGGAAACAAAATGAAAAGACACAGTCCCGTTTCAAAGAGCTAACAGTTTGTGGGGAAACATACGGACAAATAAAAACCAACATGTTCACTACTCAAATGCAAAAGTGATCTAGAAGGAGATTTATAAATGTGCCTAGAAGAAACAGATAGATAGAAACCTTCCTGGAGAAGGAAACAAAACTCAAAACCTTTGAAGGGTGAGTAGAAGTTTGTGTTAAAAAGGCTTTATTATTTGCCTAAGGGGTTGAAAAGCCAAGGCTCATGTTTATGCTTGTTGGCTTTCTGGTGATTCAAGCTTAACATTCTGGTGACTTCGTGAGCCTGGTGTTGGAAACTGATTTCACTTGCTATCTTCTGTATGTGAAACATGTTTTGTTTTTGTTTCATAGACTCCAAGAGCTGTACAGACAACTTCTTGCATAGGGACTAGATTGGTTCCCACCACTTAAAAGTGTTAGCATCCTTGGTGCATGCTGCTAATTCCTTTAAGGAGAGAAGGCAGGGAAGACTGGTAACCACTTGTCCCTCTCTGGAAAAGAGGTGGAGGTGACTGGGATAAACAGGTAGGGAATAGAAAGTGGAATGCAGAAGCATTTGTTCTGGAGACAGTGAAGAGTTTACACATAGCTGTCCTTTGTCTGCATGCAAATGTGAAAATACAGAAAGCTTTGTATATGCCAGATACCTTGCTACCAACTTGAAGTGTGTTTTTCAGTTCACCAAGTATGTTAGCAGTGAATTTGGGAGTTAGAGATGTTACTCTCATTGGAAGAAATTTCAGACTTTCCTTTGGGTATTCTGTTTCCTTGATGTTGGTTAAATCCCTCAACTTGACAATATATGTTAAAAGCTGTGTTGATATCTGCTTCTACATCAGTAACTGCCATGTTAGAGAAATTTAATTGGCATCTGAGATCATCTGTTATCTTATAAAAGTCATAGAATCATAAGAATTTAGAACTGGAAGAACCTTAAAGAGCTTGGAGTTCAGCATCTTCATTTCACAAATTTCGAGGAAACAGTGGCCCAGAGGGGCTGAGCCCCACTGTTTCAGACAGCGTCAGTCCTGTTACGGGGCCTTCCTTGCATGGTGATGATGGGAAGAGACCCACAGAGCCTTTCAATCGCAATAGGCATAAATGAATTGTCTTTCCCCCCACGTTAGCTGTGGAAGAGAGAGACCAAAGCAAAGGAAAACGTTGGGAAGTCCCAAGAGGGAGAGAAGCCAGTAATGTTGAAGCTACTGTATTGGCCCACGTGACTGGTGCTGAGTGAAAAAGAATCGTTTCCAACCCATTCAAATTTAGGGCACCTGGATGGAGAACTTTAAAAGAAAACGTTGTCAACAGTCCCCGAGACTGCCTAGTATCTTGCCCCGGCGGCGAGAGGCAGTACCGCGGGTGCCGCAGAGAGTCTGCGTACCTGGTGTTTCACCTCGCTAGACAGACTGAGAGAGGGACTTGCTGGATTCTGTAGCAGGATTTAATGCTTTTAGGAGTGACCCCCGACCCCTCTGGAGGAACTGCAGCAGTTGGCTGGACGTGGAAAAGCCATCTTTGGCCTACAGAGGGATCGTTTCCTTGAGACTCCTACTTAGACGCAAGAGTGCTTGGTAGATCAGCCAGGCGGGCAGATGGCCACAAGCCCACCCGTCCTCTCTTTCCTTCTGCCGAAGAGAGATGCCCGGGCCCAGCCCGGAGGGCTCGCCCAGCCTCGTGGTGGGGGGGTCTTGACCGAAGGCATCTTTCTACGGGGCTTTCTCGGGGCCTCCAACACCCCGCCCCCTTCGCCTGGGGCTGCGGAGCGGAGGAGGGCAGTGGGCAGGTGCGGGGCCTTTCGTCGGTCGCGCCGGTCCGGCAGGGGGGGGGACGCGTCCGCGGTGACGGAACAGAAGCCCCGAGAGCCTCGGCCCTTCCCACCAATGCCTCGGCCCCGCGGCCGCTCGGAAGGCGGCGGCGACCGCTCCACGCCGCTCGTGCTGGGCGCAGTGCGCGCCCTCGGAACCTCCCGGGCCGCAGCTCGCCGCCGCCGCCCACTCGCCGGCCGGCCGGGGGAACCCGGGGAAGCCTCGGGGCCTAGGGGCGGCGGCGGCGGCGGCGGCGAGACCCCGCCCCGCCCGGCCGGCCCGCGCCTATCGCGGCCGCCGGCCTAGTCACGCGGGGAGTGGCGCTGCGGGCTCGGGGCCAGCGCCCGGCGGCTGCCGGAGTCGCGGCGAGGCCGGGGCCGGGGCGAGGGCGGAGGGCGGAGGGTAGAAATAGGGGCGGGCGGGCCGCGCCAGTCGGGAATCGCGCGGAGCCGATCGGAGCCACGCCGCGGGCGCCGAGCGCGGTGACCGACCCTCCCCCCCCCGAGCACCCATGCTGCTAACGCTGGCCTTGGGCTCGCTCTTCTTCCCGGGGCTCTTCGCACTCTGCACCTGGGGGCTGCGGCGCGCGCGGCCCGCATGGAGCGACTCCGACTGCGTGATGATCAGCACCAGGTACGCGCGAGGCCGGGCGCCGTCCGCCCCGCCCGGCCGCGCGCCGGCTGCCCCGCGACCGGACCCGCCTGCGCCCGGCCCTGCGGCGCGCCGAGGGCGGAAAAGGGGGGCGACAGGAAGCGAGGGGGCTGCCTCCCTGGTGCCTTGCCCCTCCGGGGCGCCGGCCGGAGCTCTCCGCAGACCCCGGCGTCCCCCCGGGGAGGGAGAGGGAGAGGGAGGAGGATGGAGGGCGCCCGCGCGGGGCACGACCGGGCGGGAAGCTGCTGGTCGGTCTGCCGGCTGCCTTGGGGTCGGGAGCGCGGCGGCCGCGTACCCTCTCCCTCCCCGCACTGGCAGCCCAGGGGAGAGGCAGGTTGAAGGCTCTGGGCTTCACGCTGTCCACTGGACTGGATTTTTTTTTTTTTTTTCTTTTCTGCCGCACGTTAGGCTGGTTTCTTCAGTGCAGGCTGTGTTGGCCACCGGGTCAGGGATCGTCATCATCCGCTCCTGTAGCGACGTGATCACCGACAGGTAACATCCAGTGCCAGGTGAAAGCAGCACCGACGATGGCGCTGAGCTTTGTTGGAGTTTCCACATTTGAGCGGCTCCCAAGCGCTAGTTCTTTTACCAGCACATGCGGTTAGGTAGCTGATGGGAGAACTTGGGCACCATAATTAGTCCCTCCTCCTCTCCTTACCGCTTTCAGCGTCGCCCACTTAGGAGACTGAAGTAAACTGAAGACATACTAGAGAATGACAGGGTCTAAGTCTGATTTAAGGTGGCCCATTGATTCAAGTTCTTTATGAGATATGTAAGTGGGAGAATTATTTGGAAGTGGGAGTCTGTCTGGCTTTTAGGTCTTTTAAATGATTTCACTGGAGTCCTGCCCTGGAGCATTCTTTGGCCGACATATGTCCGGTGTGGTTAGCAGAGACCCTCTGTGGAAAGGAACAAATCCGCCATCCTTTCTTTACAAGTGCTGCTCCCCTGTTTCCTCTGGATTTGCTAAAGGCAATGAAAAGGTTTCTAGTGCTTTCAGGAAACTGACCTGTACGGGAGTTAAGAGCTCAGTCCAGAGGCAGGTCAAGAAATGTGCATCTAGTGAAACAAATCATAAAGACCAGGGCGATCTACTTGGTATAGTGTTTAGACCTGGGCAGTTGTGGACTCCCCCCCCTTTTTTAAAAAGCCATTATTTTCACCCGTCTTCCTAGAACCACTTTTAACTTTCTTCTTGTTAAAGAGTGATAGTCCAATGTTCAGAGAAAGTCTCACAGCCTTTCCTAGTCCCTTTCGCATGTTGACTCTGCAAAGTGTCCTGCTTTTTGCGAGTTGAGACTGGAATGGGATGGGAGCAGGAGTTGGGGTATCCATTTCCCTGTGGCCTGCAAATTTAGTGTCTGGATCTTACTTGGGATTAGTCCTGCCATTGTGACTTTTGTGCTTTTCTTCCTATGCCTCTTTTTAGACAAAACCAGCTATCAGCAATGAATTACAGATGCTGAGACAAGATAGGTCAAGTGACCTTGACTGCATACACCAAAGGCTAACAGCATTTGCTTGGCTGGGTTCAGTTTTTTATTTTCATTGAGCATTTTCTGATCAGGCAACAAGTTCCCTCACTGCCCCGTTTGTCACATCAAACTTGAAACCAGCCTCCTTTGCAAAGATTAAAGTGACAAATGTGACTTCGCAGCATTTTTTTGAGCTGATACGAGGGCAAGCAGCAGGCAACCACTATACATTTCAGAAGATATTTGCACACCATTAGTTCTGTAGCACCACTGTTGTGTTTTTTCCCCTTAGAAGCTCTGTGTTTTTAGTGGCTGGATCATGGTAGCACACCTGAGTTTGGTTTTCAGGTTCCTCCTTTTGTGTATCTTTATGCCTTAGATTCTCTGGGCACAGAATGGAGATAGACACATTTCTGTGCCCTCTGCCTTTGCATGTATGCATAAGGATGTTCTAAAGGCACCTAGGGCATCTTAAAAAAAAAAAAAAGGCCTTTTGGGGCTCATATGCTATACATTCAAATATTTTTCTATCATATGCTTTTTCTTTTTTTTTTAAGATTTTATTTATTTGAGAGAGAAGTGTGACTGCGCTTAAGTGGGGGAAGGGCAGAGGGCGAAGCAGGCTCTCCACTGAGCAGGGAGCCGGACACGGGGCTCGACCCCAGGACCCTGGGATCATGACCTGAGCTGAAGGCAGATGCTTAACCGACTGAGCCACCCAGGCGCCCCTATTATATGCCTTTTCATCTTATGCCTTCATAGAGAATATGTATCTATAAATCCCCCTGAATTATATGCATAATGTGGTGGTGGACCAAAGATTTCAGGAGTCCACATCCCTAAACGGGCTAAGAGTCATAGTCCTAGGCAATTTTACCAGTTTAAGCACTTATATTTGGATAGTACTTTTTAATTTAAAAGGACTTTAACACTTCTACTAGTTTTTTTAATCCACACAAGAACTTTGTCAGGGAAGGAAAACAAGAATTATCCTGATACTATAAAGAAAGTTAAGTCCCAGGCTGGTGGTAGTCAAGATTATAATCCAAACCTCTTGGGGCGCCTGGGTGGCTCAGTCGTTAAGCGTCTGCCTTCGGCTCAGGTCATGATCCCAGGGTCCTGGGATCGAGCCCCGCATTGGGGTTCCTGGTCGGCCGGGAGGCCTGCTTCTCCCTCTCCCACTCCCCCTGCTTGTGTTCCCTCTCTCGCTGTGTCTCTCTCTCTCAAATAAATAAATAAAATCTTAAGAAAAAAAAGATTATAATCCAAACCTCTTGTTAATAAGTCTTCAGAGAATTCTACACAATTTCAGATCTCACAGAATTGGTACAGTGTGCAAAATATTAAAATCCTAGGCCCCACTCAAGGGGAGGGGCCGGTTATATTTCAGTTAAGCTTTTAGTAGTTCTTCATAGTTATTTTACTTGGAATTGCTTCAAGAAAGCAATTGGAGACCATAGATGGGCAGTAGAATAAATATCACACCTTTTTACCTAAATGGAACCTGGCTAATGAATTCACATACACATCTAGTATATTTGCCATTACTTACTTGTTTGCCTGTTTCGTTGCTTCTGAATGATCCAGTCATGCCATGATAAGTGTGGACTCGTTCAGGAACAGAAATTTGAATGGCACCCTCGCTAGAGTATATTGCCAGTGTTGCAGTTCAGTGGACTGGCTTCTTAGGGAATCACCTGAGACAAAGTTAAAAATACAGCTTTAGGCTCCCGAGGCCTAGCATGTAGAGTCTCTGGAGAGTAGAGTCCTTACCAAGCACCGCAGGTGATGCTGGGGCTCAGGTAGTTTGGGAACACCAAACCATGAAACTAAACGGTTTCTTCTATCTGACACATGAGTGCTCAGTAAAAATGTGCTGAGTGAAGCTAATCCTCCTCAGTGGAGTATATGATTTCTATTTTGATTTTTCCCACATTTTCTGTAGAATGATTATTTCTCAATTGGGAACAAAACTGTAGAAATTAGAGACTTTCCTTCTAACCTGCTCTGGGACCGTGATAAGCAGTCATTTAGACTCAGCAAATATGGATCTAACCCCTTTGGGCAAGTAAATGGGAAAACTGTCTTTGGTCCCAGCTTCTCTTCTGGTATCTGATTGCTGTAAGGTAGTCCTTGAACTCCGGGTTCCTTTCCAGATGTATTTTTCTTAATGAGTGGAATTGGGATTAGCCATAGAGTTGTAAAGAGCTTCTCAGAAACTCCCTAAAGTGGGGTTGCAAGCAGATACGTGAGGAAACTCCCAACTCTTGAGCAACTAAGTGGAGCTAAACTGGAAATATTGGATTGGGCATTTGGGACACCTTCAAACAAGTTTCTTGGTGGGGCTAATGAATCATTTATAGAGATATCTATATCAAAGTTAGCTTATATCACAAAATGCCAGAAAAATCCATTAGAAAGGAGTAGCTACATCAGGGAAATGGTGAAGCTAGTTACTGAAACACATGGTGCTGAGTGAGTCCCCTGCTTTCTGCCCCTGACACTTACTAACTGGCCTCGCAATTGAGAGAAAACTCTTCACTCACCTTATTTATTACTGTCAGCATCTTCCTCGTAAAGCGTTTGGAGTAAGAATAGCTGATTAGGGTACAAAGCTGAAGGGGATGTGTTTGAGAAGCGGTTGACGTTGAGCCTTCATAGTTGACGTCCATCATCCTCTCAGGGACTGTTCATATGCTTTCTTTTAGGCACTGGCTTGCCCGAGAGTATGTCTGGTTCTTGATTCCATACATGATCTACGACTCCTACGCCATGTACCTCTGTGAGTGGTACCGAACCAGAGACCAGAACCACAGACACTCCCTCACCACTTTTCGGAACTTCCTAAGTAAAAACCGCCTCATGATCGCGCACCACGCGGTCATTCTGTTTGCCCTTGTGCCAGTTGCCCAGGTATGGCCTTCCAGAACAGCCACCAGCAGACTTGGTCCCTCGTTTCCTCCTGTTAAACTGGGCATCTTGACCATTACTTACGAGCCTGGACTGTCCCTCTTTCCTTTCCGCTTCCTCCGGTGCCAGTTGCTTCCACAGTAAAACCTCCCCGGCACATCCCCCAGGACAGAAGTGCAGTCTGCAGTGTTGCTGGTCCTCCTTGCCAGCATCATCCTCTGTGCAGTCCCCCAGCCCTCTGTGATTCCCTAGGCTCTGTCAGAGGCTCTGTCTTCCGTTTACACGATATAAAAACAGTATCCAGTACAACACAAAACAACATAAAAATTGTTAAAAAAATGAGAGTGGCTCAGTCACCTGGTGATGTGCTCCAGCAGTGCCAGAGAGTAATGTCTGTGCTATACGGATGTCACAAAAGCTCGCTCTCAAAGCAGACAGCCGTATAATTTCTCCTCAGGTCCATTTCCCCATAAGCCCCCTCCCCCGCCCCCAACGAGGAGGAGAGACGGGAAGGCAGAAAGGAATTCCTGAGTGACAGGTGCTGGGCTGCAAAGCTCATTGCTTTCTACTAATAATTAGACGTTATTAGAAGTGACAATTAGATATTATTCACCCTGTACCAGAGATGAAGAAACGGGGGGCTCTAAGAGTTTACTTACTGTACTCAGTGGTAGTCAGTGACAGAGCTGCTCTTCTGTGCTAGTCTCTTTTTTTGACAAGATAAAAGGAGTGGGGAGGACATTACATTCTTAAAGAAGTCTCTCCTGATTGCTTTGGGACCCTGACATCTAGCACGGGGCCTGGCACATATTTTGTTGAATTAAACTGGCCAAGTGCCCTCGGCATGACTAAGTTAGGTATCCAAGAGTAGGCTACAGGGTTCCTTCGGGCTGACATTGAAATTCAGAAAAAGCCTGGGGTGTGATGCGATCAGCTGATCTCTGCAGTTGTCTCTGGATCCTAGGGGATTTGCCCCTCCAAGTGCTATTGCTGTGGAAGCAGCAGAGTATTAACCAGGTCTGTACTCACTTAGCATTTCCCTTTCCCTTCACGGTCTCTCATGGTTACCCTTTCCAGTAGCCCTCCAGTAGAATTTTCCTTCCAGTGGTTCTTTAACCTCTAGTTCTTATTTCCCATTTCTTCCCTTTTCCTCTGCAGAGGCTCCGGGGAGACCTCGGGGACTTCTTTGTCGGCTGCATCTTCATGGCAGAACTGAGCACTCCGTTCGTGTCCCTGGGCCGAGTTCTGATTCAGGTACAGATGCCATGGCCGTATGGCAGGAGGAAGCAGGCGCCGCTCTCCCTGGTGGACTGGGGGGGCTTGTGGAAACCCCTTAGTGCTAGGAATGGTGGGGCAGGAGACCCTTTAACAGATGCCAAGGTCAGTTGGTCTTCTGAGCCTGTGTGTGTGTGTTTGTGGGGGGGTGAAATTGTACTTTTGATTCAAATTTGATAGTTTTTTAGGTATTTTTTCCTGGCTGCAGATTTTTTTTTTTTTTTGGTGTTTTTGTTTTGTTTTGTTGTTGTTGTTAAACGCGCTTGTCCTGTGTGCCTGTCGGCTGCGGGGCTTAGGCCAAACTCAGTATCACTGTTGGAGACACCGCGCGCCTGCGTGCACCCATAAAGCGGGCGGCACTCGGCCAGCTCTGCCACGCGTGTCAGGCGACCCGACGCTTGGCTTTCCGGCTGCGGGCCCCCGGCGGGTGGTTCCCGGCAGGCGCAGCCTCGCCGACGGCCTTCCCCTCCCCGTTCTCCTGCAGCTGAAGCAGCAGCACACCCTCCTGTACAAAGTGAACGGAATCCTCACGCTGACCACCTTCCTTTCCTGCCGGATCCTTCTTTTCCCGTTCATGTACTGGTCGTACGGCCAGCAGCGGGGACTAAGCCTGCTCCAAGTGCCGTCCCGTATCCCCTTCTACTGCAACGTGGCCAATGCCGTCCTCGTCGCCCCCCAGATCTACTGGTTCTCTCTGCTCTGCAAGAAGGCAGCCCGGCTCTTTGACCCCCCCCCGGACAACAAGGACGGCTAAGCGCTCCCGGGAGTCGGGCAGTGCAGGTGCCTCCTCCACTCGGTAGTCCCACGGACCAGACTGTGCCCTGGGTGGCTCCAGCCCTTTGGGTGTATTGATAAGCAGATGGGTTTGAGTTTTTCTAAAGAATCTTCACATGACCTCCCTCTTCTAACCTGCCCCTTTTGCAAAAGCACTTTTTTCCTAAGGAACAGCGATTGGATCCTGTCAGACCCCCCGCTGGCAGCAAGGTGGTTTTAACGCAAGCCCCAGGATCCTTCCTTGAGTCTCACCTCAAGGGTTCTGGGAGGCAGAAGCATGGGGTGTGGAGACGGGTGGACTAGGGTGAAGCGTCTGGGCACCCGCCTGGCCCGAATATGGGCGGCTACCCGCCTTTCCGACCACTCAGGGCAGTATCTACACTTACTGGGCCAGTGGCAGCAAGTGGTGAGCCTGGTTCTCGAAATACGTTCTCGTGATGTTGGCCTGGGCAAACTGTCGTGGGTACTGGTCCCATGCCTCATCCCGTCATCCACGTGCCAACACGGAATTCCCATGTCCCCTGACTTCATTCAGAAGTGTCCCCGGCAGGGGGGTGAGAGGCAGGGAGGGGAACCTGAAGCACTTGAGTAGTTAGGGAGGCCCACAGGTCAGCGCCATTGCAGGCCGACTTGGGAAGACCAGTGTCGAACTTCTGAGCTCGTTGTAAAGTCACAAATACTATTCCTTTCTTAGCATGTCCCCTCAAACCCAGCTTTCCCCATGTCCACACGCACAGGATGCTGTTGTTAAAACTGTAGGGGTAAAGCAACATGGTGCCTGTTGAGCTCTTTCCTGGGGAACCCCCCTCTTCGACATTGTCCTTTCCATAGGACGTGGAAACGGGCTTCTGTATTTCAAACCGTGAGAGGTCTCATCCGGGCTCCCCCCCCCCCCCCCCGTAAGCCAGGGCTTGTGTTCCAAAGCCTGTTCCCACAGGAGCGGACTGCCACTTTGCTCCCGAAGGCTGGAGAACGAAGAGTGCAAGACAGCCCTGGCCGAACTCCGTCCTGGGGACTGACCCAACTACCGTTTGCAGATAGGACCCTCTGGTGCCGACACTAATTCTTCCTTACCCACTAGGATGGGTTTTAGAAACTGCTACCATGAAGTTTTTTTTCAAATGGTAGTAAAAATCTAGAAGTTTTAAAGTGCCTTTTAATTCATTGTTGTCCATGAACTTGTAAAGTACTCAATATGTAACAGTGTCTCAAATTCTATTTGTCTTTAATGGGTGCCATTTAAAAAATGTCAAATGCTGTAATTTTTTTTTTTTTTACCATTTTTGTTTACTGTCAGTATATCTTTATAAATCACCCCTGTGGTGATTAAAGTGCACTAATATTTCCCAGCTTCTTCTCATTTGTGAAATACATCAATACCCACTTCTTTCCAGACCCATCCTGTGACCGGAGTGGCCTCCCCGCTGTGTGCTGCTGTTCTGGGTCTGTGCTCGCATCCACCACGCAACTGGCAGGAGCGGGGTGTGGAGGGGTGTGGTCACGCTTTCAGCCTTCAGGGGGGCCCGGCTCAGACCTTACTCCCACATGTGTCTGGGGGTTCCGCGAGTCCGAGCCCCGTGGGCGGGCAACTTCGGGCGCAATCTTACCTTCCTACGTGAACCCCAATTAGGAGCTGGGAGCGGACCAGAGTAACACCTCATTTTGAGTGAGGGTAAGCATATGAAGGTGATGGGGCATATCCTTTTTCCCTCCTTGCCTCTCAAATTAAACACCTCCCCAACCAGTTCTCCTCGTCCTGTGACAGACACTGGACGTGGGAAGGTCACATTTTTAAGCTTCTGTGTACGCCACTGCTCCCACTCACCCCTGAAAACCAGGCCAGCCCACCCAGGCAGAAGATAATGGTACCCACCCTTTAAACCCACCTCTGGTGTCCACCAGACTGTTTCACACAGCCCCTCCTGGATCCACTAAATGGGGTTCAGCCTATATGGCTGAAGTCCTCCATTCAGAACACACCCATTTTCTTGGGGTTATTAGTCCACTCCCTGACATTTAATTTTCTTGGGCCAGTGTTCTCCTTTTACAGTGGGGCAGGCCGCTTGGGTTCACAAATACATGGCCAATTGGTGGCAGAAGAGAGTTTTTCCCCCTGGCTGCCCTTTCCAAGACACCACGAAATGACTCTTGAAGAGGGCTGCAGTGCAGAAGAACAGAATACCTGTAATTTTTCCACTTGGGTGGTTTCACCTTTGGACTTCTTTGCCAGATTCTAGGGTGGATAAATCCAGTTGTGAACATGTTCCTCCCAGCTTGCTTTGTTCTTTAAGGCTAGCTGAGCCCAATTGCAGAGCATATCTAAGCCTATTCTATTGACGAGAAAGACTCAAAGAGAGACGATGAAACTCAAACGAGAATTTTATAATTTGTATGTTACAAACACCTAAGAAACTATTTTCTTTACAGTTATTGCCATATACTTTTTTAGCTTGTGTACAATTTCACATAACCGAAAAGCTCGTGTTTCTCAGCTTAAGCCCCTGTAGACCCCACCGAGTCGGGGCCCAGCCGTTCTCCGAAGTACAAAGATCAGAAGTTGCTGATCTTCTGCAGCAGGGTTTGGCGCCGTTCCTCAGGGCTAATGTTCTCAGCGATGGACTTCAGGAAGCGCTGCTCATTTACCTTCTGGAGCAAGGAGCTACCAGAAGGGTTGGCCTTGCTCAGGGTTTCGTAGCAAGTGAGGATTTCCAAGGCCAAAACGTAGAGCGGTTCACACACCTCTTGGTGGAGCATGGCCATGATGTGCAGAACATGGCAGAATACCTGGGTATAAAAAAACAGGGTCTCCTGGGTCAGGTCCTGTTCTTGAGCCCAAGGGCCAACTGACTGTATCGACCTAACGGAGTCCAGAAGATTGGTCAGACTGTTACAGAGAAGTCTGACTACATGGCTCCAGCCTTCCATAGGAAGCCAATTACAACAACTCTGGCTGCAGAGAAACTGGAAAGCTCTCAGGAACAGTACGGAGAGCTGGAGCTCCTGGGCAAAGGGCTTCAGGTTGAGCAGAGGAACAAACTGAATATATTCCAGGCTATATGGGACGTGCAGGAGTTGTTTCTCCAACAGTCTCCTGGTCAACTGGTAAAGGTACTGCCACTCTTGGGGGCTGCACCAAGGCATGACTTGTACCAGGACCACCAGAAAGCCCTTGCTGAACAATCTGACCTCCTCAGGGTTGCCCACATCTACCACCAAGAGGGACAGCATCTGCTCAGAGATGCTGCTGGAGATGTAGCAGCACTCCATCCAGGCAAGAAGCCCTGTGCCCGGACCGTACCCAGGGTGGGCTTGGGAGGTCCACTCGTCCTCAGAAAGCTTACAGATCTCAAAAAGCGTGGCGGGCACCTCACACTTGAAGTGGCCCTCAAAGAGGTTCTTCATTCTCAGGCGCACTGTCCAGTCAAGCTGCTCCAGCTTCCGATGGAGCCAAGACAGGGACTTGATCCAGGTGTCTGGGGAGAAGGTCTCAGCATTAGCCAATATAATCTCACAGAGTATCTCCAGGACACGGGTCACCAGATCCTTCCCATCCAAAGAGAGGCACCGTTTCTCCTTGGGGAGCTGCCAGTATTTGCTGAAGCAATCCAGCAGCTGGCACAAGCTGAAGATGAGGGGGAACGGAGAGCAGGCCTGGAGCCAGTACTCCTCCAAACACGCATTTGCTTCAAGAGTCTGGATGAAGATCTTCAAACTGAGATCCACCTCTTTGACGTCTAGCATCAAGAAAGGCAGGACGAACTCCTTTAGCACCTCATCTGGCTCAAGAAGAGCAGCAACCGGGATACCCTGGGGCTTCACAGGATTCATTAGGCAGCCCAGGAGCTCCAAAAATTGCTTTTCTTCCTTGGGTGTAGAGAACTTTGTCCAGACGGTTTCTTTGAGGCATGACACCACAAAAGTAGCGGATGGATCGGGACCCTGCTCTTCCGTGAACCTAAGGGCGGGGAAGGCAGTGAGAATCTGGGCCAGGAACTTGTGGGTGCCAAGATTGACCACAGCCATGCTGCACATTTTCTTCACGGTGATCTCCGGGTGCAGTATTACCAGGCGGGCCACAGACGCTACAGCTTTAGCTAAGCCCTGTTCAGAGGCACTCTGTGCGAGCTGGTTAAAAGTTGTATTGAGGTCCTCCTGAAACCTGTCCAAGTAAGCCAACAACTTCTCAGAGAGACCCTTCCGCCCCCAGGAGAGCAGGGTGCCCGAGAGGACTTTGTTTTTATCTGGCAGAGAGAGGTCTGCATAGCATTCTAGAATCAAGCTGATCACTTGTCTGATCTGAGATTCAGGGACGGCTCTGTCTGTCATGGTAACTTCCATCACTGTTTCCAGCAGCTTTAACACCAAGTCTGGCTCTCGGAAGAGGGCCCGGTTATTAACCAGGCAGGCTAGCCATTCGTCTGAGAAGGCCCACTTCTTCTCAGAAGCAAAAATGTAGCACATTTCCATGTGTCGGTCCATCTTCTGCTCAATAATGGCCATGGCAATCGAGGCGGTGATGTCCTTCTCAAAGCCCTTGTTCTTCAGCACCCTGGTGGTCTTCCTCAGGAAGTCCCCAACACACTCTGCCAGCTCTGAGACCACCTGCCTTTCCTCCTTGGACAAGCTGGTAGAATCCAGGTAGAGCTTCAAGTTCTGGCTGAAGGACATCAGGCTGTCACACAGCCGGAAGCTGTCGTAATTTGTCCCCTGGCTGCTGGTGAGCATGGCCTGCAGCTCCTCCCCCCACTCCCGCAGCAGGGTGCACATGAACTCAAACCCGATGAAAATCGTCTCGCTTGGAAGCTTGGCCACGGAGGTCAGGCTGATGTCCCGTTCGGCCTCCTTTACCTTCTCTGCCAGTGCCTGTTGGTGATACGGGTTCTGGGTGTCCGAATTCCACACAGAGATCACCGTGGCCAGTTTGTCCAGATACACGGTTGCAGATACTTCCTGGGGGTCGTCCTCCATCAGGGCAAACACCGTCAGCATGTCTGCCAAGTTGGCTAACGCACAGCACTTCATCCCTGGGCATAGGATTCTATTTTGGATTTGCTTCAGCCCAGTGAGCAGCATGGCCAACAGGGGCATAGTGGGACACACATCTGGGTCTGACTTAAACCTCTTTGGAGGGTGGCAGAACTCATCTGAAGAGGACAAATACTTATGGGCCATGGTTCTAAACTGGGAGAGCAGGGGGTCCTGCTGATTGCCTTTGTGCTTCATCATTTCCCACCAGACACTGAGGAAAAAGGCCACATCCTTTGAAGACGTGTCAACAGACATGTGCTCCAAAAAGCGCTCTAGTTCTGCACGGCAGATAGTGGTGGGCAGGGCCATCAGGAGCTGGATAAAGAGTCCAGAAGCTTCCAGCGACTTGAGCAGCTCAAAAAGGACCGTGTGGTTGATGGTAGGGATCATGTTGCCTACTGAGAAGAACACATCTTCCTGCCACCGAGTGTCAGCATCTGAAGGGGTGACAGGGCAGGGCTGAAGAACCTTGGCCCAGATAATGATCAGAGCTTTCTTCTTCCAGGCAAAGGGCTGGGAGCATGCTGTGGCGGAGGAGATCTCCCTTAGGGCCTCCACAATAGGCTGCCCAACGCGTTCCCAGTCAGACTTTTTCAATTCCGTCAGCGCTTTGGGGTGGAACAACTGTTCAGCGAGCAAAAAGCCCCCATGCAGAATAGTCATTTCCTCACAGATATTCACGGGTCCTGCACAGAGAGAAGCCGCACAAGACAGAGTGTGGTGAAAAATCTTGAGAATCATTAGCAGAGGTTAGACGGAGAGACAGGAGCTGGTGGGCCGGCGGTCATCATCGGGGTTAGAGATGATAAGGGCTCGAACGGGGAAGGAGGGTTGGTTCTAAGAGCCGCTGTAGAGCTGGAATCAAAAGCACTTAGCTAAGGGATAAAGAAAGACTCCCAGACTCTAGCCTGGATTGGGAAGACAACGGGCATCACTGGAAGAACAGAGAATCAGAACAGCTCTGGAGGGAACACTGTTCAGTTTTGGTTATTTGGAGTTTGAGATAGAACATTAAGCTAGAGACGTCCTCCAGCAATGGAAATGTGGCTCAGGGAGGTGTCTGCTCAGAGGGGATCAATGGAATGAAAAAGTGAATGAGATCCTGCAGGAAAAGCATGTGTAAAGGAAAGGGCTAGGCCCTCCGACAAAGGATGGGCTGGCAGAGGATGTGGGGAGGAAGGGCTGAGAGAGAGAGCAGGGCAGTACCAAGCAACAGGGGCGACCAAGTACATACCGTGGAACATGACAGTTGAGCTTCTGAGTAATGATACAGCCTAAGGGGGGCAGGGGCCAGGGCTGTGGGCACAGAAGCAATCAGACAAGCCCTGCCTTCCCTCTTTTCTCTTACAGCCTTGTCTTGCAAACAAATTTCCGGTGTTCTTGCAAGGAAACAGTTTACCCCACAGCTCTGTCAAACAAAAGAAGCTACCAAAGGCTCTGCTTCTCTAGTAAAAACCAAGAGGTAGATACAAAAAAGTACTTCAGTAGATTAGGAATGAAAAGTCCTCTGTCCAGGGAGCCATGAATCAACAGACTTATCAAGGAAGGCATTTGGGGATGTTTAATTAGACACTGCTTTAAATCCTAGCTCAACCATCTAGAACAAGCTAAAGCTTCTCTGAGCTTCCCTTCTGTGTATGTGGGAAAAATACAGACTTTGTGTTAGACTGGGAGGATCGAATGACATATACTAGTCAAGCCCTCAACACTGAGCTGGTAGTTCGGCTCCCAATTCCATCTCCCAGAGCTGCTGAGCATTACGCAAGATACAGCTACTGTAAGCCTCTGGCTACAAAGAGCCTGATAAGCGCTCAGAAGTGTTGATTCCCCGCAGATCTTTCCATTGTTGGCTGGACTGGAACCTTGTCGCTATTCTTTGCCTTCCCTAGCTCAGTAATAGGAAAGGACATAGGTCTTCCTCAGGTAAGCTGCTTCTGGCCCAGAAACAAAATCGGAGTACAAACGCTACTCACTGTTCAGTATCCCAACTTCTCCCCCCTTTCCCAGGGCCCGGAGATGCTACCCCTTCCTCATTCCCTCATGCCCCCAAAGAACACATCTTTCCCAATTTCACAGGCCAGGAGCCAGCAAGAGAATCTTGATTCAGGAGACTAAAAACGATCCTGCCTCTCGACTTTTAAGGGAGCAGCAAAAGGCCAAAGGATCAACACTCCTATGCAACCAACTGGTGAAGGCAGTCCACCTTGGCTCCCAGTGGCCGAGGCTGACTGCCAGGAGGATTAGGGTGCTGAGAGGTCTCACTGGGGATTTTGCCCGCCCCCTTTTTGGCTCAGGCTGCTCTCCTAGGCTCCCCAACTATGTCCCCTTATGACTCTGTAAATTTAAATTTATTGCACAGTCAGCTGAGATGTTTGTCCCCCAATACCAATATTCCAGAGACATTATGTTCATTGTGCAACCTGAAGGAGTAAGTCCCAGGACCTACTGGTTAATAGCTGGGCAAATCCCAAGTGTTTTTATCACTACTGGTTAACTGGTGTTTGTAAGTGCCCACTCTGTATGTTTATTAAGTGCTTACTCCGTGCCAGGCACTGTGCAAGATCTCTTTTAATCTTCAAATCAACCATTCTTGTTTTAGAGAGAGAAACACTGAGATTCAGAAACAATTTGCTCAGGATGTCCCAACTACAGGGTGGTGGGGCTGCGAGAGAAATCACCACAGCTGCAGGGCTCCAAGCTTAGAGCTCTACTGTTCCACCACTGAAGACCTGGCTGGCGACAGGACTACACCGTTTCTCCACAGCCTGTTCCTGGCACATCTTGGGGTGCCTTACCCCAGCTCTCTCACAACAGCCTCCTGGTCTCATCTCTTTAAGAGCATGTCCAGCAGGGTGGGAGGCTGGACAAGGAGCCACCGATTTATACTAGCTCCCCCTCCCCTCTCCCAGACCCCGCCTGTGAGTACTCTGATTCAAAAGTGCACAAAGGTTCCAAAGTGGCACCTCGGCTGCCGGCTGCCGCGGCGCTCCCCACAGCTGCTGCTCGGATGAACTAGCTGTGCTCAAGGCGCCGTACCAGACACCGTATACACGTGCTCTCAATCACAACGCCCCAAAACTCTGTGTGGTGGATACGTTATCATCCCCGTTTTATCGAGGAGGGCCTCATGGGCGTAAGACGCTTGCTCAAGAACTCAGCAGCCGTCCAACAAATGAAACCGTCCGGGTATCCGGATTCCCCGAGGGCGTCTTCCGAGCCCGGCATTTTCCAAAAAGCACGTGCACGAACCCTGTCCACTTTCAGGAAATCTAACTTCACATCCGCTCGGCCCTTCACGTGGAAAGGCGCCCCGAGGGGACAAGATGCAGGCTTAGGAGCCGCGGGGCCGGGGCTGGAGCCAGGCCTCCCGACCCCCGGCCCCGAGGACACGCCCGCCCTCCCAAGCCCTCCCCGACCCCGAGGTCTCCCTTAGCCCGGGCCCATTCAGCACTGCCCTGGTCGCGGGTTTCGGGACGCAGACCACGAGGGCCGAGAACGGGTAGTCGGGACACCCACCTAGGTCCATGGCGGCGACGCTGGCGGCCGCAGCGGCCGCCCCTCCCCCGCGACGCCCCGAGTGCCGCGCAGGCGCCACGGCACAATGGGTGGTTGGGGGGGCGGGACAATGGCCGCACCTCAGCCCCGCCCACCACCTCAGCTCGGGCTCCGCGCCGCCGGCCGCAGTCCTCCCGCCGCTCCCCGCGCACGCGCAGTCCTCACCAACAGCTCCGCGGCGCCCAAGCAGCCCGGCCCACAGCGCCCCCCCTACCAGCCCGAGGCCTCCAACCAGCCAACAGGCAAGTACCGGCACTTCCCTACCGCCGAGCGTGCTCCGCCCCGCCCGTTCCCTTCGCTCGGGCCGCTCGGCCACGCCTCTGCCCAGCCCCTGCCCAGCCCCTGCCCAGCCTAGCTTTCTGAGTCCCAGTGGAGCCCACCCACCAGCTCCGTCCCAGGCTCCGGTTCGCTCCCATCCAGCCACCCCCGGGATCCCCCGCTTACAGTTCACCCGCACTGAACGCCTTCCCCAGGCTGCCCACTCACCAGCACAGATGTGCCATTCTGAGAGGCTTCCTCCCCTGAAGCGGGTCGGCCCCACAGACGCACAATTCCTCCCACCCCACCGCCCCCCAGCGCACTTCCTTCTCCCTGCAGCACGGTATCCTTAATTCTCTGGCATCATAGGCGCCTTTGAAGTGTTACTGGTTGTCCTCCCCAGAAAATGCACTTTGCTAGCCAGAGCATCGGTGGGGGAGATCTAATCCAATGGGCCCCAGGTCTGAGAAACACACACACGAATATCCTATCTTCTTCTCACACATTACCCTGTCTCCTTTGCTCCCTTTCCCCTCTTCCCTGACCTAATCACCAGCCTCCAGGGTTTCTAACTCTCCATCCTCCAGCCTGCAGCACCAGCTATCACCTAGAGAGGACACAGGGGCCACGCCTCAGCTCCCCCAATGTGCCAAGTGGAGTTTGAGATGGCCTGTGCTGCTGTCAAGCAGCTGAAGGGACCTGTGAGTGATCAGGAGAAACTGTTGGTGTACAGCTTCTACAAACAGGCCACCCAGGGTGATTGCAACATCCCCGCCCCACCTGCTACAGATGTGAAAGCCAAGGCCAAGTGGGAGGCATGGAACGAGAACAAAGGGATGTCCAAGATGGATGCCATGAGGATCTATGTTGCCAAAGTGGAAGAACTGAAGAAAAATGATACTGGTTAAGGAGGACTGAGTGTCAAACAGAATGAAGTAGCAGGGCTCCTCCGGTAGGGAAAAGGGCTTCTTAAAAGACATGGTTGAAACATCCTGAAACCATAACCACCATAGCTGAGAGACATCAATAAATCACTTAAACTGCATGAGAGTGAGTGACTGTTGTTGGAAAGGTGATTAAACTCAAAGTGACTGTCCGAGTCCTGGGGAGGTGTCCAAAATATATAAAAAGCAGCTCTCCTCAAGGGAAAGTTCCATCACACCTGGCTTTATGATTTTGAGTAAGAGTTCCCAGCCTTCCTACTCCCAGAGTATATGCAGTTGCTTGGCAGGAGTAGAGGGGTCGGGGGAAAAATCATGCTATGAAAATGCCTCCAGATTTGAGGTGAATAGACCATTCTCCAGAGGCTCGGCCTCTTGGGAAAGGGGAAAGAAGGGGAGGCTAAGGTCCCCTATCTCTTTAGGGGTTGTCCGTTCAGTACTAACCCAACATTACTGAGAGGAAAGGGGCTTTGTCTTCCAAAAAGCTAAAGTCAAGTGCTACTCCAAAAGCCCCTACTAGAACACAGGCCTGATGAAGTTAATATTTTGAGGGAAGTCGACTTTTAGTGAAGTAATGGATGCCTGACAACACAGCAGAGAAACACTGGAGAAGATGGTTTCAAAATCCCAGTCTCTGAAAGCCTCATTAGAGGCCATGCAACCAAAGTTTTCTTGGGATTAGTTCATAGTTAACCCTGGTTTCTGCTTGGGGATGTCTGTAGGACAATGTGTATGTACATATGAGTTTGTTTTACAAGCACAACACACCCTTTGACCCATGCAAGGCCCAAAGTGCCTGTGCTCAGCTTCCACTCCTTAGTGCCGATTATCATGAAGGCATCAATACACAGTAAGTGCCCTGGGATATGGAGTGCTAAATGCTACTATTAAAGAAATTTCAGAGAAAAAGCTCTGCTATGGCATGGGTCTTCCCAATACTTTTCCTCAAGAACTATTTTCATAGATCATAACATCGGGTCAGCTCCAGTTCATGCAGGGCCTTTAAACAATAGAAGCAACAACATGAAGACTTCAGAAGACAAAGGAAACCAAATCTCACCAGGTATCTTCAGTATCTTCTGTTCATGTCTTTGCAGGAAGTTGCTATAGACTAAATACAGGACTTGAGAATATCCGCAGGATGCCACAGTGACTAAAGAACTATTGTAAGTTGGACAAGAGCCACACTGTAGGGGCACCTAGGTGGCTCAGTCAGTTGGGCATCTGCTTTCGGCCCAGGTTGTGGTCCCAGGTGCTGGGATCGAGCCCCACATCAGGCTCCCTGCTCTGAGGAGGGCCTGCTTCTCCCTCTCCCTCTGCCTGCCCCTCGCCCTGCTTGTGCTCGCTCTGTGTCAGATAAATAAAGTCTTAAGAAAAAAAAAAAGCCACATTGTACAATAGTTGTGTTGTCCTCTCTTCTTTGGAGGATATTACAAGCACATTTTGATGCTTTTAGGGCCCTGACTCACATTAAATGTGAATTACTAGTAAAAATAATAACGGAACATCTTGCTCCAAAATATAATGTCAACTTCGGCACTGTAGGTATAGTCATTTCTGTAAATCATTATAAAACCTGATAAAGTAAAAATGCACCATAGTTAGGACTGCAGAAGGCAACTATAGGATACATTATTAAAAAAATATATAGTGTATACAGTATGTTGAATTTTGTGGGGCAGGGGGAAGAATAATAAGTAGGAGGCAAGGGGAATGGGATTGGTAGGAGCAAGACTTTTCAGAGTGTACCTTTTTAATATTGTTCTGATTTTTGTATCATTGACTCTGTTACCTTATAGAAATCTGAGGCAAGAGTATTTCTTGGGGCGCCTGGATGGCTCAGTAGGTTAAGCAACTGACTCTTGGTTTTGGCTCAGGTCATGATCTCAGGGTTGTGAGATCGAGCCCCATGTTGGGCTCCATGATCAGCGTGGAGTCTGCTTAAGTTTCTCTCTCCCTCTGTCTCTGCCCTGCCCCTGCTCACATGCACTCTCTTTTTAAAATAAATAAAATCTAAAAAAACAAAAAACAAAAAAACCAAGAGCATTTGTTGATCATTAAGGCCAGAGTAAAGTTCCTATGATAGACTTCCCAAGGGAAAGGTAAGAAGTCTTAGACCAAACTGAAACTTACCATTAACTCTCACCATAAATTTCAGTGGACAAATTGGAGCCCTCCTAAAAACTCTGCTAAACACAATGGCAACTGACAGGCGAGATAGGCAGAAAGTCACACAAAGGAGCTGTGAATGTCCACAGCTTTGCTAATTCTACCAAGATGTCAAGCAAATATGGATTTCATACTAACTCCCCGGGCTAAGCTAGGGGAGCTCTTGCAACATAGTCATTCTAAATCTCTCTGGATTTAAACCCAAGGGAAGTTTGAATTTAAACTTAATATGCTATAACTCCTCAACCCTTCAATGCAAAAAACCAAATGACTGCTCTGAAAACACAACTCTGGAGAAGCCAAAGGACGTTCCAACTTCATCTGTTTTAAAACACCAGCTTGGGCAAAACCATCTTATAACCTTGTTTTCTAACGGATCATATCATCCTCAGAGGTGGGAAAGTAATCGATTGTACCTGTGGTTTAAAATCATTAGCTACACCAGGGGGCGCCTGAGTGGCTCCGTCGGTTAAGCGTCCGACTCCTGGTTTCAGCTCAGGTCATGATCTCAGGGTTGTGAGATCTAGCCCCGTGTCGAGCCCCATGTTGCTGAGCATGGAGCCTGTTTAAGATTCTCTCTCCCCCTCTGCCCTTCCCCTCCCCTTAAAAAAATAAATAAAATCACTAGCTACACCGTGCAGAGGTAGATTTTTGGATTCCTTGATAAAAGGCCAAAATTGTACACTAAATGGTTTTAGGGTGAATACAATGTTAAGGAATGAAACAAAAGAAAAATGGTTGGCAGTGAGACAAAAGGGGGCTTATATCATAAAGTCAAAATGTCCCAGGGAGATAAATAGCATTAACTTCTGTCATGCATAGCTGTAATTTAAGAAAGAAAAATTTTGGTAATGTTAATATGTAAGCAGATAAAATGAAATCTAGTATGTGTTTGGTCATTAAGTACTTACATAAACCATTTATTTTACTATGACAAACTTAGAAGGCCTAAGCCTAATACACTGGGAAAAGCATAATTTCTTTGCACAAGAACAGTGTTACTGGAAATAAACATCAAGAATTACTTAATAATAGGAAATCTGAAAATTAACAAATCATAGTCTAAAGAAACACAGAGAAGTTATTCAAAATCCATACAATAATTTCCCCGTATATAGGAAAAAAGTGAACCAATGGTCTAGAGAAGGAACATATAACTTGGTTTTCTTTGAAACTCATGATTGCTTCCCTAAGACAGAGAATTTAAGTTGAATGAAAAGTGCCGTGGAGCTGGAAAAGGATTTTTTTCTCTTGGTGAAGGTAAGATTATTCTAATTTCATATATATTAATCTGGAACTGGTAACCTCTGAGTCAATCCTTTTCAATCTCCTCGGTTTCTTCCCTAAAATTTGAACCTGGCCACTGCCATTTTATTTTTTATTTTATTTTTTTTAGATTTTATTTATTTGACAGAGAGAGACACAG